TTTCTGACTCCCTTTACTGCATGTACATGTTACATTATTTTTCTTCAAGGTTTGATATATTAACTTTTTACCTGCTAGAAAGGCCTTTAATTTAAACGTGGGCTTGTAGAACTGGCTGAAGTATTTCTCCCAGATTGAGACCCACACAGAAGGACCATTGTCTTCCACCCAGTGCCTCAGTATGATGTCATAACCCTGGTCTCTCTGAGTAAGAAGCTTTGATTTATAGCCAGGGCTGCTGCCAACGTGCAATTCTCAGAACGTCGTATTAAATTGGATGACATAATGACTTGAGTCCAGAGTCTAAGAAGGTATCGTCGAACCACTGAAAACCAATTAGCACAGATTAAGTTGCTTATCAGACTAATTTAGAACTGTGAGCTCTGTCATATATTAATATTCAGAATCAAGGACCAGCTGACCTAATGCATTGTGAAGTAACAAGTGTTTCAAAATTCACCGTGAAAACCAAACTTCATTAATTTTCTTCCTTTTTATGGCAAGGGCCTGATCCTTCAGCAGAGTAGGGTCTCTTAAACAAGTGACATTACTTTTGAGTCTGAGCGCATGTAAAAAATGCATCATCTTTTCTGTTTACAACTTCCCAAATTCTGGCTTCATTGCTGCGATTTATTATTGGCAACTATCAGTTTATGGCAAATTCAGGAACAGCTTTTCGTTCTAGCCATCTGAGGGTCTGCAAGACTGGGAGTTATCTCAGCGCCATGGAGCAGCTCTGAGACAGAACGCTTGTTGCTATTTGATGCGGCTCTGCTGAATTTAAGAAATAGTCCGGTTTCTGCTAAAAGTGCTTGCAGTTTCTGAACAGCTGTAGGGCTTTCTAGTCTATTGCCAGTCCAGGCCTGCTGTGTGACTAGGAGTGTCTCTTTCATCTGGCAGGTTTTTACCAAGTCACTTAAGATTTGAAATATTTCAGCTAGAAGTTAGTCAGGCTAATACTGTTCTCTGTTAAATATTAATCCTGAGAAAATTAACCGCACTCTCTGTATCATGTTGCATCTCCCTGTGCGAAATATTCATATATGACCGTGGAAGTGGATATTTATTACAGAAGCTAGCTTCCCATGCCTCCACAGGGATGTGTTTGAGAAGGAACCCCCTTTTTCTAGCTTGGGTCTGTAAAGATTTGCTGTTAATCAAGCGTGAGTCAATAGGTAAGTGGTACCGGTAGCCCACGGCTGGCCAGCAATCAGCCACCGCAACCACTGGGTTCCTGCCTAGGAGAAACGGTGACGGCAGGCTCGTAAGGTTTGTATCCTCAGCTCCTCTAAGTCAGCTGCAGCTGCTCACCTGAGATGAGGGTCTCCGCCGCCCAGGAGTCAGTGGGTAGGGTGTGTTAGGTACTGGTAGCCCTATTACATGCAAGTATTTTAACTTACTTGAGTAATGCCGTAGACACTGTGAGGTAAGTGGGTAGCCAGTGAGCACAGGTACAGGCTGTTCCTGCACTGGTTTTGGAAGGTGTGCCTTGAAATACCCACAGCTCTTGGGTCCCCTGCAGTTCTTTGCTGAGTTTAAAAGATTGGCCTTTTAAAGAAGGAATATAAGGGGATTTAAAGCAACTTTTGACATAGTCAGAGTATATTCAGAATAACCAGGAGGTCAGACCCACAGCTCGTTTGACTTGAGTTTGGAAATGCAAGCTGACAAAGATTTTTTTGGCCTTTGTTTCTCCATTTAGTGATTATGTAGACTGGGAAGGAGCAGATGGAGGATAGTGTCATAAATAAACTGTTAACTAGTGTAATGTAGCAATTTGTGGAGTATCTGTCCTCCACAAGTCAAGTAATATGGTTATTAATGTAAAATACAAAAGTTGAGGTCTAACCAGAGAGAGATGTGTTAACGTCTCACGTTTCTGCTGACATGCTCAGCTTTGCAGGTCTGATTACAGATTATCTGGGTCATTAGTAATGGTTTCTCCAGGGAAAAAAACAATAATTCTGCAGAGTTTCCTTCTCCAAACTGGTACCCTGTTAAGACATTCACACTTTTTTAAAGGGAAGTGAGTGGCTGCCATCCCAGTTTGGTAAGATCCATACGTTCACTCTGCACAGTGTTAAATGGCTATACAAATGGCAAAGTACTGAAAAGTCAGATACAAATCCCTTCACCATTTCCTCATCAATACTTTTTCAGTGTGATACCTATTCTAGTGATGAGATTAGCATACAAAGAAAATATATGATGCTTAGAAAGGGTGAAACTTTTTTTACTGTGTTGAAAACACACATTTAAAGAAGGTAGTGGAGACAATCAGTTGTACAAGTTCAGACACCTCTAAGCCTAAGTGCAGGTATTACCTGTCCATTTAAAGACAATGTGTTTCCCATTACATGAAACAGCAGATGCACAAGAGTATCAGTTCAGAGCAATAGAAAGGGACAGTGTAAACAGATGTCAGAATAGAGGTCCCACTTAATCTCATATCCCTCCTTCTTGTTTCCCTCTCTGGCTACCAACCTGCCATCAGGTTGGTATCTTGTGACTTACCCTGTGACTTATCCTGACCAGTCTTGTGCTTAACACCAGTCCCTCTGAACTCTGAATTTATAGGCAGACAAGAGTGTCCTTCGTTGCTGTCACCATCCATCCTAAGAGAGTTTTTCGGACTAACAGGTCTGGAATAGGGTCCTTTCTGCCCATCAGTCCTTCACCCCAGTGCAGAGCAGGATGTACTGGTTATCGTCTGTTGGTTTGCAGCAGGTGTATTTTAGTGTAGCAGCATACAAAAACAGATTCCCAATTTTCATGACCACTAATCAAACCTTCAAATAGACCCCATGGCATTGCTTTTATGAAGAAAAAAAAAACAATATGAAGTGACAAAAAAGCACCTGGTAAACCAAGTAGCAAAGATGTGCCATAGAAGAGCTACAATGAAAAATCAGCCCTAGATCAGAACCTGCCTTCTTTAAAGCCTCCAGCCTGCCTGCCTCCAGGGCTATAACCCTTCCCTAGGTTATAACAAGTCAGACAACTCCAGGGTTTATTGGAGTTGAATTACCAGTGGTTGAGCTTGGAATTATTTAGCACAGGTGTTTCTATAACAGTGATATATTGCGAAAATTCAGTGTTCAACAACCATTATATTTCCAGCTGTGCTGTGGTTAGTGCTAGTACAGTGAACCTAATATAAAACACATGAGAATATTTGCTAGCTCAGGAACTTGTTAAAGGTATTTTCTTACAATATCTGAGCTGCTATGTTTATCTGGGTGTGTTTCTTTGGTCTTGCATTTTCATAAAGGGTATGATACTGGTTTTATAAAGCTGTCACTGAACCTGCAATCTGCTTCTCCACAGCCAAGTGCATTAGTAGCCCTGCAAGCCGGTGAGCAACACATGGGCAGGTGAAAACAAGATTATGAGGAATCCAATGACAGTCCATTATCCTTAGCACATTCATCCTGAGCAGCATCTGTGCATCTGTTACATACACAGACATGTTTTTACTAGGGGTGCTAGAAATCCTGAAACAAGTGTTGCAAGCATCTATATGTGAAAGAACATAAAAGGAGAAAAGTTAAAAAGAGGATAGGGGACTGTAAAACAAGGGTAGTGAAGTGTATTCACCACAAGCAAAATTTTTGAGTGTTGAAAGAGGTTTTATATGTACACATGCATGCACGTGCATTTTTAGGGTCCAAAACACTCATACACAAACATAGTAAATGGAGAATGTATAAGAGTGTTTGTAAAACACATGCAAATGAAAGTAGAGTCAGAGACACACAACGTGTATGTGCTCTGAGCTGAGTTGTGCAAAGTTGTTTCATTAATAACTTTGTGCCATGGTGGGTCCGTTATTCTAATATTCTGAAAGATATTCTCTGCTGTCACTGTAAATGTCCAACTGCACCTTCAAGCAATGGTTGTTCCTGTGGATCTCTTTCTGGGAGAGAAGATAAATGCCACTGTGCATCCATACTCAATTCTTCTGTGCATTACAGTTGCATCTGTTTAGAAAAAATACATCTGCAGATTAGCTTGGCCCTATTATTGATAATTTTCCTGATAGAGGAAGTGGGTGTCTTTTACCTGTATATCTTGTAGGAGAAGCAGCAAAGGCACCTCTCCCTAATTTGAGAGAGAAAGCTGATGTGAAAAAGACACTTTGATTTGATTTGATCTTTTCTCTGATTTGAGAAAGCAGCTCTACATCTGTCATGACTGGGTTGATGCTCATAAACAGTCGTTCTGGTGGTATTTAGAGACAATGCTTGACAGCTCAATTAGAGCCTCTTTTGGGACAATGGGCAGATCGAGCAGAAGTCTACAATAAGAATCAGGTTTTTTGGTAGCCAGAGTTAACATTTCTTAGGAGCTGGCATTAGCAGTTCGGATCCAACTTCGGATCACTGAGAGTTGGATGAAACTTAATGAATGTTTTACACCCACTGGCTGGTTAGTAATACTAAACACAATCATGTAGAAACTACATAAATCAAATCATACTCTTTCAAGAATATCCTCATAATTGAAAACTTCTTGTACATAGTAGTTTGTCAAGTATCTCTGCAATTTTCTTTTTACTGAACTATGAAAGCCCCATCTCTACCTTATTATGCTCCAGTTTACCGAATGTGCAGACATTTATCAAATGGGCCATCAGTAGCTGTAGAAATGCAGTAGTATATCCAAGTTAAAATTCTTGCTTTGATTACTACAAATCCGTGGAGCCCTTGGGTCCGAAGCTTCCACTGAAGCACAGCTATTTGCAAATAGATTTTTATAGCACATTAGTGCTGGAGGAGAGTCCAAAGAAAATAGCCCTTTTCAATATTAGAACCAGCTGTGACTTTCTTGTGCTGATGACTCATTCTTCTTTTTTTTTATAGGGTGGGAGAACTGGGCAAAAGACACACAGAGTCTTATTCAAGACGTTGTTTGTTTTGCAAAGGGTATCCTAGCCACAAGCCAACTTGATCATACCAATACGCAACTCATGTTTATTTAAAACTTTTTTCTTTTAACAGTTCCAATTATAAAAACAGAACCCACAGATGACTATGAGCCTGCTCAAACCTGTGGACCAATGAACCAAGGCTTAAGCCCTCTCTCTAAACCGTACTACAGCCAGCAGATCATGATGCCCCCTGATCCCGGTTCGTGCCTTGTGGCTGGCTTTGCCTCCTGTCAGCAGAGAAATGCCGTGATGTCACCCTCTCCCAACGCAAGCCCCAAGCTGCATGACCTTTCGTCTTCTCCTTACAAGTGCATCCCCAACCCGGGCCACAGTCACCTCGGACTTCAGCAGCCTGCTGGAGGTGTCCCCACCATACAGGAAGTGCCAAGATCTATAGTTGTGCACCCAAGCTCCCCCGAGCAATCATCTCACATCATGCTGCAGCCGCAGGTGAGTCAACATCTGAGCAGTAGCTGTCCCCTTGGTTATCAACAAACACTCTATCCCAACAGTCCCTCTTCTCCAGTTCCATCTGTTACCCAAGAGCCAACCTATTTGCAGTCCTGCAGTCCAACTCACTCATCCATAATGGGTCAACAGCAGCAGCAACTGCCGAAGGTTCACAGAAATGAGTCTCCAACAACCCAACCACTGTCATTACCAGAGTTGCATGAGGAAAGTAATCATAATTTGGCCCCTATTCCTGTAACGATCAAGCGAGAACCTGAGGAATTGGACCAGATGTACCTGGATGATGGTAAGTCTTCCGCAGCATAGGTTTGCGTTCAACCATGTTGCTATACCAGTGAGTTCCCTTAATCCCCTCCTCCTTTTGAATCCTGATGGAAAAAAAAATTCAATTAACAGCCTAGTGGAATGGTGCCAACTTTTGCTTGGATTGTCTTTACGTGGCAAAGGACTCTTTAATTTTGTTTGCGATAATGAAATCATACTGTCTAAGTATTAAATGCTCTTAGTTACCATAGAGCTAGCTGCATGACCAATAGCTGTGGTGCAATAATCTTAACTGTATGGTCTTGGCTTACGCCCATGCCAGCGACCCATGGAACTGCAGTGAAAACATATTTAACATTTTCCCACCCATAATGTAGTGAAATGTCTGATGTGCAAATCTGTTCACTGGAACCGAACGATAAACTGCTCTACTTCAGTTGAGGGGGTTCAGATTAAAAGTGGAGGCACAGCTTTCAGCCTAACTTCTCAGTCTGGTGGCATCTGACTACTTTTTCTTCCATTCTTGGGGTTCAGATTAAAAGTGGAGGCACAGCTTTCAGCCTAACTTCTCAGTCTGGTGGCATCTGACATTAAGGCTACTTTTTCCTCCATTCTTATTCTGGACTTGCTGCAGCATTTTTAATGTGTTTATAAAATTCTATAGGTATATGTATTCTGCATGCACCACTGAAACGTTGAAATGCTGTTATGAACTTGTCAGGCTCTAATTTCCAAAGATTTATTAGTCAAATGTAATAAAAGGGATAATCTGAATTACTATGTGACCTCACTGAACTGTGATTTAGCATTTACTGCTAAGTATGCCAGTAGTATTCTGGACCCTCACCTTAATGCAGTACGTGAACTCCCTTCCAATAGCCACATAACTTTACATAACATACCGTGCTGTTTGCAGAAGCCTTTGAAATGGCTGTGTTGAAACTAATTGGTGCCCAGGAACATCTGAATGCGACTGGCTTGCAGGGAGAACTTAAAGACAATCCATTGTGCTGTTTTTTTAAAAAAGGACATTTAATCATTCTATTTTAAACAGCGTGATACTGACTGAATTAGGATTACAAATGAATGTTTTGAAGCTTGAGTAGCAGCCTTTTGCTTTTTGACTCTAGGAAAAAGATTTTTCTTCATAGGAATTATTATTGGCCTCATGATGGACAGGTCTAAGGAATGTTTCGTAATTAGGAGTTCAGTTCACTGAAGTTTTGCACAACACATCTTTTGTGACAGGTTTTCTTCATATAGCGTGTATTTTTACCACATACCTGTGCTGTAAGGAGCAAGATTTCTGCAAACCAAACAAGAAATTTACAAAACCCAATACAAAAAGCCATGCCCAAATTTTGGTTTTGAGAGAAACCAGAAGTTACTTGTGGAAGGAAGGGAATACAGATAAAATCTCAACCTAGTCTGGAGCGGTCTTTCTAGAAAAGCACAAGAAGTGGACAGTCTATCTGCCTCACCTCTCCAAAATCCAGCAACCACTTCTCTGACAGCACTGTGAAAGCTACCTTTGGTGGGTCTGTACTGGAGACCTGCAGCTGCGGCTCAGGGATGAAGGGTGAAGCTTCTCAGCCATGTCTACTGCAGGTTTCTCCTGGAGGAGCAGAGGAACCGTGCTACCACGTGGTCTGGGAGAGATTTTTTTTTTTTCAGCAGTGTTCATTCTCTCCCACAAAGCATAAATGGTTTAATCTTTATCCCCATCTCCCATCCCCTCTTCTGGGCACACACGCACATCAGTCCTCTGACAGATAATCAGAAGTAATTGTAGAAGCCACCATGTACATCTGCACTGATACTTAAAGTTGACTTTGAAGACCACTTCAGCTAGCCAAAACCAGATATACTTCCCTTTGGCATCCAGGAGGCTATCAAAATCCTTCTGTGGCTGACCACAAGGACTATAGACCGAGAAAGAATTCACAGACATAACAGTCATGGCAACAGTATAAAATAGAAGAAAAATAACGTAGTTCCAAAAAATCAAACACCAGCAGTTCCCTCTAAGGGTGGTAATCAGAAATGGTGACCAGAGGAAGTCCCTTTTCCGTGCCTAAACTGATACTTAGGTTTGTCTCAGGGGTCACACTGATGGAGTGTAACCCACAGAATCTCAGAATGGTCAGGGTTGGGAGGGACCTCTGGAGATCATCCAGTCCAACCCCGGCACAGCCCCCGCATGCTTCAGGCGCAACATGGGCACGCAAAGCTGTGAGTCAGGCTGGAAGCCCGTTTTGGGCTATGCTGTATGCATTTCACGGAGGCAACCTTACCACCACCAGTGCAGACACTGGTTTCACATTACATTTAATCTGATGTAACTGCAGGCTCCCGTGGAAAGGGTGGCCTCGATCCATCTTGCCCTTAGCCACATGTTCTTGCAGCTTCCTTTGAGTCATATCCATTGATTATGGAGCAGCAGAGCAGGCTAATGGAAAATTAACTTGCCAAAAATAGCAAAACCCATGTAGTTTTCTGCTGGGTTAGCTCATGGAACCGCATCCCCCTGGGTCCAATAGCTGGGTCCAGCCCATGAGGGGGGCAGGAAGCCTGTTGCTGGGGGTCAAAAAGTGCAGTGGGACCACTCTGCGCGGCAGCAGTCCACCCATAGGCCAGAGTGAGTGTGGCTTGAAGCCACATCTGGTGTCATCTTATCCTCCCCAGCAACTATCTCATCAACTCATCCTTTCTCAGTAAAAAAATCCCCTTCGCGTGCTCACGTATTAGTTACAGGACGATGATGTCTGGGCTGACTCGCACTGTCTCAGAGGGCAGTTTGGCCACTGCTGTGACTGCCTGGAAAACACCAGAATTTGCCCCTGGTGTCCTGGTAAGTGCTGCTCACCCAGATCTGCACTAGACGGGCAAAGGACTCCACATAGGCAATGCCTTTATGCCTGGTGCCTGTTCATTCAGACCACTGGCCATAACTGTGGAATAAAGGAGAATGGGTTTTGCCGAGTGGCACATACCAGATAGGAGCAACTCATTTTTCGTGTGCTCTTTTTTTTTTTTTTTGGACTAGGACCTTCTAAGTCATCACCATTGTTTCTTGTTAGTATCATTAATCTTGAAGTATCAAATCATACCTGTGAGTGAGAACAGTTACTCTTCTTTTTAAATAGATTGCTGTTCTACCTCTTTATAATTTGTTGTCTCACAGATTCAGTTCAGATCATACAATCACAGAATGGTTTGGGTTGGAAAGGACCTTAAAGACCATCCAGTTCCAACCCCCCTGCCATGGGCAGGGACACCTTCCACTAGACCAGGTTGCTCAAAGCCTCATCCAGCCTGGCCTTGAAGACAGCCAGGTTCTATATCCTGATACATCATGAGGATCCCTTCATACCTCATGAGTTAAACTGTTTTCCAGTATTTTTTCAATCTTTTCATCTGTGAACAATATGAAAGCCAGAGAGAGGTCAGATGTACTTGACTGCTTTCCTTGCCTCCTTATCCCTAAAGTAATTTAGAAGTAATGAAATATTTTAAAGAAATTAAAAATTAAATTCTCAAAGTATCACTCTATTATAAAGAAGTGTGTTTCACGGTGTCTTGTAGCTATTTAATACCTCCAGTTTTACCTGAAAGTACTTAGCAAAGTGTGAGGTATAAACTTCTAACATACTTATGGGACTACCAAACAAATAAATACCTAACTGGTTATGCCAGATTATATTTGGTAGAATTTTGGTTGCTTGTTTACCCCTTTGGAAAGGTTTGATTTATGTGTCTAATATAAGTACAACAATCTTGGACCAGGTATAAACAGGAATTTTTTGGTTTTAGCTTATGGGATCAAAGCAATATTAATTCCTTTTGTTCTAGAGTATGTCCAAATGCAGACAATCTATACTGTAGAATATAGATGGAAAAAACCAGTCAGTGAGTTTATATGAGTATGTATCCTCTATATGACATTTTTCTGCTTTCAGTAGTGGTGGGCAGCTAGTGATATAAAGGGAGCACCCAGAGAGACTTTCCTTTTGGCAAATAAGTTTTGGTCTTGGCAGTCTTCTCTTAAATCAGAATCTACAGTAGCCACCTGGGCTACTCATTAAATGAGCTGTTCATTTCAGTATGTGACTATATGATTCAACATGTAGAACATATTTAAAACTCACCCCATAAAATGATACCTGATATATTATGGCTATGCTCTTGATATTGAAAGCTATCTGGCTTGTATACCAGCACTCGTTTTAAGTAATTCTGAGTTCAGCTGCCTAACAAAGATCATGGCTGACTCCTTTGCTGCTTTCACAGCAAGATTTGATTAAAAGCGGTTGAAATGTGACGTATGCCTGGGTTTGGTCCCCTGTGGGAGCCTGTGGTCCCTTGCATCAGGAGAAGGGGTATCTCCTGCCCTTCTCACTAGAAGCTCTTGCAGCAAGCTGCAGGGCACTGGGGCACCCTGGCAGACCGTGCCAGGGCTAAGGCTGGCTCCATGTGCGTGTGCCAGCCCAGCCCTGGACAGTGAAGGTTATGTGAAATTCCTGGTTCAGATCTAACCTGGTGCAAGGGTGGTGGAGCTCATGGAAAATCATTAGACAGGCAGGCTTGAGGGTCCTCTTCAGTACAAGTCCATGCAGTAACTGCTTTTAAGAGAAAACATTTCATTTTGGAATTGCTGAGTCTAATGTGCTGTACAGCTCTTTGAGGCATGAAGTGGAATTAGCGTTGCGCAAAGTGACGGAGAGTTTGGGGAAGATACAAACTGTTGAAAATCTTCTTCGCCCCTTGAACCGGTCATTATCTCAAGGGGATGTGAAAATTTCCCTAATTTATGTCTCACTTTTGAACATGCTCCTCTCTCCAGCCTTCTAACTAGGTCTTGGGTCAAAAACTGTGCTAATCTGGTCTTGAACTAATCCTGCTTCTTTTCTGTTGACGTGGGCAGCTCAGATAATTTTTCCAAATTTTAACTGCTTTTCCTAGTGGTAGAATAAACCCAAGCCAGAGGTGGTGGAGTGTAAGTTCACACCGCTTCCAGGATGT